TTCTATTTAAATTCTTTTTTTTTTTTTTTTTTTTTTTTTTTTGTGTGTGTGTGTGTGTGTGTGTGTGTGTGCCACATGTGTGCTGTGTGTGCAGATACCCCCAGAGGTCAGAAGAAGGTGTCAGATGCCCTAGAGCTGGAGTTACAGGTGGTTGTGAGTCACCAAACCGTAGGTGCTGGGCTCCCAACTCAGGTCTTCTGGAAAAGCAGCAAATGTTCTTAGTCATGGACCCATTTCTCCAGCTGCCTGAAAGCAGTTTTGTTCTTTCAGATTTCCTTCCGGGCTGCTCTTTCTGAGTTAGTCGCTCTCACTCATGTATCATGGCTACAAGTTGTTTGAAAGTAATTTGCTGCCTGACTTTACACTGGGGTCAAGGCAGACATCTGAATGTGTCCCCCTAGGATCTCTCCACATGTTCCTTACTGTACTGGGCTTCATCTGGGACTCAATGTGTCCCAGCCACCATACTTGGTCAGGAGGTCACCAGTCACATTGCACATTCTGTGATTTCCAGGCCTCCTCTACTAGTGTCTTCTAGCTCAGTTTCTCTCACATCCTGGTCCCAGAACTCCAGCTTCAGCCCACAATCCAGTCATACCTTTCCATTTCCATTCTCTTTCCAGCAATAACATTTTTCCAAGTCTGCCTTCTTTCTTTTCTTTATTTACAACTTGCTGTGCATCCAACGATGACCTTGAACTCCTAATCCTTCTGCCTCTACCTTCCAGGTGCTGGGATTATAGGTGTGGGCCACCACCTATATACTTGGCTCAAACCCATGGCTTTATGGACAGCTCACTTTGCCTGCCAGATCAAAGTTCCAGCACTGGCTGTTTGAACTTGTGTACTACTGGCATCTCCACTTCAGTGAGCAGTCAGTGTTCTCAAGTTTTCAGGGTACACAGATCTCCATCCTACCTGCTCCTCCCGACTTCCTGAAGTAGCAGTTCCATCCCTAAATAGCCTTGAAGTCACCCTGACTCATCTATGCCTATCCCCATATCCAGGCTATTGGGGAATTCTGCCACTTTGGCTTTCAGGACAAATTCCACACTTTGTACTCCCTTTGCTACCACTTGGGCTAAGCCACCTAACATGACTATTGTGAATGGCTACAGTAGTTGATGTGTCACTGTCAACCTCCTCCACCCACCTGCCTGCCCTGCCCACTCCAGAGTCTAGTCTCAATTCAGCAGCTAAAAAAATCTAAATAAAACTTTCAGTTTGCTGGGTGTGGTGACCCATGCCTTTAATTCCAGGACTTGGGAGGCAAAAGCAGATGGATCTCTGTGAATTGGAGGCCTGGAATATATAGCAAGTTCCAGGTCAGCCAGAGCTACCTAGTGAGACCCTAAGAACAAACAAATAAACAAACAAACAAAATAACCCAACCCTCCTCCCCCATACAAAGACAAAAACCCCTTAGAATATTACCACTGAATCAGATCCTATTTCCCTCTCATTACAGGACCTGAAATAACTCTCACCTGGCAAAAAAATCTAGTTCCAGTCAGGTGTGGTGGCTCATGCCTTTAGTCTCAGCACTCGGGAGACAGAGGCACTCGGAGCTCTGTGAGAGCAAGGCCAGGCTAGTCTACATAGAGAATGCTGGGCCATCTGGGACTACAGTGAAACCTGTCTCAAAAAGACCAAAAAGAAAATCTAAAGTTCCTATGGTGGCTGCAGGAACCCAGAATCTTTCTCCTTCATCAATGCCCATTCTTTTTTGCCTCACCCATACCCAGCCTCAGTGACCTCCTGGTTGTCCCCCTTATGTCTCAAATGAACATCATTCTACCCCAGGTCTTGCATTGGCAGGATAACCCCCCGAACGCCCCTTGCATGCTGCCTTGACATTTCCACATGATTTCTTCTCTCTCCAAATTACTGAAGGAAAGTCCATTTTCAGTGAGGCCCACTCTGGCTCACCTCACGACCTCCTTTCCCCATCACCTTCCTTTGATGCTTTTACTCTCCACAGTATTAACCATCTTCTAACAAGTGATATAACTTAGTGGTTCTGTTTAATGCTTTTTTTTTCCTAAGGGAGCCTTCCATTTGTTCACTATTTTACAGGTGTTGGGAGAGTGTTTGGCACATAAAAAGTCTTAATAAATACTTGGAATGGCTGAGGTATAGCTTAGTAGTAGAGTGTGTGCCCAAGATGTGTGAGGCCCTGGGTTTGATCCCCAGCACTCTCCCCCATAAATGGGACTGGTGGTGTAGCCATATGGTAGATCACTTGCCTAGCATACATGAATCTCTGGGTTCAATCTCTCACACCACAATAACAAACAAAATACTTGAAGAATGAATGGGTGTATCCTTTTTCAGTTGACAGGAGAGTGTGTACACATAGGTGAGGAAGTGTGGGCAAGAGCAGCTGCCGGGCAGGGGGAGGTCAATATACATTTGCCCTTTTTCAAGTTCATATTATCTTTTTGGTCTAACTATGTAGCCCAAGCTCACCTCAAACTTGTAATCGTCCTACCCTAGTTTTCAGAGTGCTAAGTGTATTATCTTATTTTTCTCTAGCAAGTAGCTATTAGAAAAACAATGAAAATCAAAGGTGGGTAAACCCACCTCTCAGGAGGAAACGCAGGAAGCAAGAGAATTGGAAATCTGAAGCCAGCTTGGGCTACAGAGTGAGAGTCTATCTGCCACCCCTCACCAGAAAGAAAGAAAGAAAGAAAGAAAGAAAGAAAGAAAGAAAGAAAGAACGAAAGTAAGAAAGAAAGACAGAAAGATAGCAACAAAGAAAGAAAGAAAGAAAGAAAGAAAGAAAGAAAGGAAAGAAGGGAGGGAGAGAGGGAGGGAAGGAAGAAAGGGAAGGGAAGGAAGGAAGGAAGGAAGGAAGGAAGGAAGGAAGGAAGGAGGAGGGAAGAAGAACCGTCCCCCTCGCCCCCATGGCTCCGGAGTCCAGTGCAATGCCTACATCACCTGTCTGCTTCCTGCTGGAGCCTACTACCCTTGGTCAGGCTGAATAGGCAGAAAGAAAGGCTCTGAGGTGAGGGTTCTCCCTGCCACTCTGGCTATGTAGGGGAGCTACTGTTAGCATATCTGCACTGAGAGGCCTGCAACCTTGGGTGGTGTCCTGTTGCTGCTCTGCCCTGCATCCTTCTTTGGATGGAGAATGTAAAAAAATCTCCAGGGTTTGCCCACAGGATAGACTCTGCTGATGTTTATCCCTCACTCCCCATGAGCCAAGCATTCCAGGTAAGACTGTGGCCCTATCTGAGGGTGAAGAGACCAGTGATTCTCAAAGGACAACTCACGACAGGGTGCCCTGGGTTGCATCTACCTCTAGGACAGTGCCCAGATGTTTCCTGGAGCCACGGGACTTCTAGTTGAAGTCAGGTCCCTGGGGCTGATGGGAATGGGATTCAGGAAGCCCCCCTCTGCCCAGCTGGCACTACTGTGGGCCAAGCAGCCACCAGCTTGAAGAAGTTCTTTCTTCAGGGGTTTCCTGAGCTGGCAGTTGCCTTTTGAGTTCAAACTGGATTTTTCTTGCTGTCCTTTCGCTGGTGGCCTAGCCTGTGCAGGGTCTTTTCTAATGAGGGTTTGGTGCCAAGGCCTGGGCAGTCCATCCTGCTGAGCTGTGACCGGTTCAGGCCTGCACACTGCAGTGGGCAGCTTCCCAGTCCCACTTGGGCAAGGACACCTGTGGCTGCTCTGCCTCCTTGAAGTCCAAGCCCTGCTTTGGGTTTCATCCTCTACCAGCCACTCAGAAACCCCCACCCTGGGACTCACAAACCCACCTTATTTATAGAGGGGTTTATGATCAATAAAAAGATCAGCCTAACAGGGCACAGGATATCTGGAATTTTGTCTACAAAAATTGACAGAGGGTTGATATGCAGCCTGAGAGCCAGTGGATTGCAAGGGCCTCTTCCTGGGCTTCTTCAGGACTCAGCTGCCCCTAACTTAGACCCTCTCTGAGGCTGCTGGGGATGCACCTCACGTTGCCTCCTTCCTCAGGCTTCTCTCTCTGTCCCACTTCCTGGGGCCTCATTAATTCCTCCCCACCTCACGCCGTGAGAAAGCAGGTCTGTGCTGAGCTTGGCCCAGGCCCAGAGCTGGGTCTGAGCTTGCCACTGGTTAGTCTAGGAGGCAGGAGGTGGGATGGGGGTGGGGGTCTTACTCTGTCTCCACTCTCACGCAGGAAAACAGACAAGAAAACCCCCAGAGCCATCCACAACTGACCCCTACCCCACTTTCCAGAAATCCAAGGACCACAGAGAGCAAAAATATAAAATAACAACTGGTCTTATGTATAATATTTATAAAAGGGGGCTGCCAGCCTCCCCACCCCTGTCCCAGTCTGGCCCCTGGGGTCTTTGGCTCCCAGGGGCAGGACACCCTGGGCCCAGCTGCTCTTCTCCCAGTAGTGGAATGGATGTAAGTTATGGCCCAGGCTTGGGGTGGGGGAGTCCCAGCCTCCCCAGGACTGGTGAAGGGCCACAGCAGGAGTCCATGGGGTGCACACCAGCCCCATCCTTAGCAGAACCTGCTAGACCCAGATGTGGGGTAGGATAGGGTCTCCTCCTGTGAAGGAGATGGAAGAGAACAAAAGTGTATCCAAGGATTTGGGCCCACGTGTCTGAAAAGAGCCAATGGGGTAAAGGGGGAGCAGGGAATCATTGAGCTGGGGGAGATGAGCCCTCTGGGCATAGACTGTGGCCTCCCAGCAGGACTGGGGATGCCTTCAGGTCTGGGTTCCAGCTCTGTGTGCCCCCTTACAGCCTGTGTGACCTCAGGAGATGGCTGCTGGGCCTCAGTATACACAGCTGTGTGAGGGGGATGGAGGGTATCGGTGGGATCTGAAGCAACAACCCCACCCTGTTCCTAGCTCAGGAAGCCCCTGCAGCTCTGGAGCCCAGCAGGGGGTGGTCCAAGGGCCTTGGTCCTGGCTCATTAACAAAAACCTTCCAACGGAGAGGATATGGGTGGAGCAAATGCCATAGTGTTTACAGTGTCTTTCTTCCCTATCTTTCTCCCCCTAATAGGCCCCTGACTGGGAGCAGGGGCTGGAGAGCCAGGGCAGGGGTACTAGGATGAGTAGACAGAATAGAACAGGGATCATCCTAATGGTTTCCTCCATGCTGGCTGGTCCCAGAGACCCAGTCAATGATGATGAAACTCAAACTCATGATCATCAGCAAGAAGCCAAGGGCAGCAAAACAAAGGGCCTGTTGGGGTCAGAAATGAGGGTCAGGTTTGAGGTCTGGGCAGTATCCCTATTATCTCTGCTCCAGCCCATCAGCTTCCAGGTCCCTCTCACCAGGATTTTAGGGGTAGATCTTGTAGGCTCCTTCTCAGTGGGCATGATTCGGAAGTAGAAGATGGCAGGGAAGATGAAGATGAGGCATGGAGCAGATGTGGCACCTGTGAAGAACAGAACATATCAAATGCTGGCTCATGGTTACCTACTGGCCGAAGTTTGCAGCTGGACCTCTCTCATCCCCAGTGAGAGCGTTCCTTGGTGGCGAAGTTTCACCATACTTGATAGCTCTGACTGTTCTGGGGAGCCCACCAGCCTTTTCACCTTGTTCTCTATTCACCGGGTTAGAAGATTGGTGATGTTGGTGGGTCAGAAGAAGGTAAGTGAATGAAATGAGCGATAAGGAAAGGCAAGTTATGACAGAGAAATGAAGCCTTAAGAATACTGAGTTCCTCAAAATACCTTGCTATAATTTAGATCTTGAATGTTCCTAAAAGGCCCAAGTGTTAGGAATCTCTAGGGAGGCCAAATATTGGAGGGTCCTGGGGCTCCCAAGGTGGTGCTGTTGGGAAGTGGTGGAATTTTTAGGAGGTAGAGCCTCGTGGAAAGTCTTTAGTGGTTGGTGTACCCCTGAAGAGATGGTGGGATCTTGGTCTCTTCCTCTTTTCCTTTAAGTTCCTGGCCATGAAGTAAGCAGTTTTGTTCTGCCACACAGTCTTGTCATAATGTGCTAGCTCTTGGGGCTAGAGAGATGGCGCAGGAGTTAAGAGCACTGGCTGCTCTTGAAGAAGACCCAGGTTCAAATCTCAGCACCCACATGGTGTCTAAGAATTTCCTGTAACTCCAGTTCCAGGGGATCTGATGCCCTCTTATGTCTTCTGTGGGCACTGCATGTATGCTTACATACATGTAGGCATAACGCTCATACACATAAAACAAAATAAATGAAAAAAATGGCTATCTCACTACATTCCCCAAATATACCAATCAGTCATGGACAGGAACCTACAAAAGTGTGAGTCAAAATAAGCCTGTTTGTTTGTAGACAGGGTTTCATATATCCCAGGATAGCCTCAAATTATATAGCCAAAGATGGACTTGGAAGTCCTGATCTTGCTTCTACTCTTCCTCCAATGCTGGGATTACAGACATGTGCCACAACACCTTGTTTATGTGGTGCTGAGGCTCTAACCCAGGGTTTAGTGCATGCTAGGTAAACACTCAACTAACTAAGCTACATTCCCCAGTCCCTAAGCCTTTTTTTCCTCTCTCTTTCTTTTTAAATTTTCTACATTTGTCTCTCTCTCTCTCTCTCTCTCTCTCTCTCTCTCTCTCTCTTTTTTGCACTCTCTAAGCCTTTTTTTCCTCTCTCTTTCTTTTTAAATTTTCTACATTTGTGTCTCTCTCTCTCTCTCTCTCTCTCTCTCTCTCTCTCTCTGTGTAGACATGCATATGCCACAGGAGGCATATGGGGGTCAGAGGACAACCTGTAGGATTGGTTCTCGCCTTTTACCATGTGGGTTCTGGGGATTGAGCTCAGATCATCAGGCTTGGCTGCAGGTGCCCTTACTCACTGAGCCATCTCAGTCCTGCCTTTTCTCTTCATAAGTTAATTATCTCAGGTATTTTGTTGCAGTGACAAAAGAGCCGACTAACAGTTATTATTGAAGAGTTTTCTGTCAACTGAACCAATGCATTTCTGTCTACTTCATTTTTGAGTCAGATTTTGAACATATGGAAGCAAGAGTCTTTTCAAGAATCTTTTCAGATATTCATGATTCTCAGCACCCAGATCTGTGTGTCAGGTCCTGAAGAGTAGGGCCAAAGAGTCAATCAGTCCCTTGAGTTAGGTCACCCCAAAGATGTTTTGAAATTGTATCATTTTCTAGCTAAGAACCCCAGCTAAGATGGGGCAGTAGACAGCGTCAAACCTGGAATCTGATAATCTTTGGCTGAATCAACTCTCCACTCACCAACTGTGGCTCTGCTGCTACTTTAATCACTTTGGACTTCAGTCTCCCCATTTGTAAAACAGAGATAAGACACAATGAGGTCTTCTGTTGTCATTATACAGAGTCTTGCTATGCTGCCCAGGCTGGTCTTGAACTCATGGGCTCCGGATCCTCCTGCTTCATCCTCTCAAGCTGGGACAGGCACTTATGCCCAACCCAGTGAGATCCTTTGTGGATTCCTTGGCCCATGGGGTTTACCCTATCCTTTAGCAAAGGGAACTAACTGAGTGTTTCTGAACCTTCAAGATAGACTGCAATACCTTCAAGGACAAGGGCTCAGACAGGAGACCAAACCATGTACATGGGGGCAACCATTACTTAAATGTAGGGTGTAAACTCAAGAATCTGCCAGCATGAAATTCTCTGGCACACTATCCCACTTGTATAACAGAGCCAGACTCTCACCGATGATGCCAAAGATGCCCAAGATGTTGGGGGCAAAGATAACCAGTAGGTTGATACAAGTGAGCAGGCCAGTAGCAATGAGCACATGCCGTAGCCAGCTGAACTCCTGGTTCTGAAACAGCATCTGTTGGATGGCACGTCGTACCTAGGGCACATATGTGGGATGAGCCATAAGTCTGGTGGCCCCATCAGCCCCTCCCTTCCATTGGTCCAGCCACCTGCCCACTGCTCACCGGAAACAGAACAATTGGCACTGTGAGTGTGACTGCTATCAGCACGGCCACGCGCACACACAAGATCAGCACATCAAATGGGTCCACCTTGCTGTAGGTGTGCAGCAGCTCTGACTCCACCCCGTCTGTGGCGGGCAGGGAGGATGGTCAGCAGGCCAGGGGGCGTTGGGCTCTGAGTTGCCCGGTGGACCCTGACACTGTGGGGAGTGGCACTCAGACTCACCTCCACAGCTGCAGGACACAGTCAGGCATCACACATCTAGTGAGTGCCTATAGTATTCAGGGCACCATGGCCACTGACCAGCCCTTGCCTCCCAGCCTGGCCTCTGTCCCTGCCCCCACTGATCCAGCCATACCATAGAAGGTGAGGTAGCCGAAGAGGGCAGCCAAGAAGTACATGACATACATGACAGCAATGGACAGGTTGGAGATGTGCTGCATCTTCCTCTTGGAGGGGCTGTGAGGCAGTGAGACAGGAGACTTGGTTAGCAAGCTAGGCCACACAGCGAGATCTGCATGTGCAGACCTGAGGGTTTCTCTGGCACCCCATCCCTTTATTCAGCAATAAGAATCTCCTTCTTGCTCTTAATTCCTACTGTTGGCAGCCATGGAAATCTTTGATCGGGTGACTTGGGTCTTATCCCCTCCCCTTCTAGACACATAACCAAAGCCACATCCATTTTCCCCAAACTAACTCAAGGAAGCCCCCCGTCCCTCTCCCAGCTACAGACACCTACTCCTTGAGCTCTGTATAGATGGGCAGCACTTCAGGGTGACAGACGAAGGCGAAGGCCATGATGGGGATGGTGTATGCTGTCTGGGGACACAAAGGACTATGTCAAGACAGCCCTCCCCACAAGAACCCCCTTCCCTGACCTGGCCTGGCCTGTTGGAACCTGTGAGTTGAGTGTGAAGTAGCTCGGGGTGCAGAGGGCAGCAGTCTCGGGTTCTCCTTGCAGCTGTGCCTTCTCCTCCACCACCAGCATGTGGCTGAAGTTGCCTGTGGCATTGACCAAACTGTGTGGCAGTGGGCAGGAAACTTGGAATTTCTTGTAGATCACCTGGGGTAGGGGAGGATGAGAGTATAAGAGAGAGGAGAGGCAGCCTGCAAAGTCATAGGGGAACCATATTTAAGATTAGAAGAGTTGCCTTCACAGAGACCCCACCCCCTCCCTCTGGCAGGGGATTCCCTTGGGCCACTTCTTTCCTGACCAACATGGAGGGGGACTCACTGCAATCAAGAAGAACACCATGCAGCTGAGAGAGAAGCCACTGGAGTAGCCCAAATAGCCTGCAAAGCAAAGGTCTGTGAGACTCAGGCCTCTTGTGTGTCTCTCAACATCCCCTCCACAGCCAGAACCTGTCACACTCACCAAGCTGCCGCATTAGCGCCAGAGGTAGAATGATGCTGACAGATACCAGGATCACCAGGTAGTTGCCATTCATGTACCAGACTCTTCAGGAATGAAAATGGAAAAACAGGGTCAGAACACTCTCAGCCTGAGGTAGGGCCGCTTGCTTCTCCCAGTTGGAGATATCAGTGATGCCACATAGTGCTGAGTCTCCCTGAGTCCATCTGAATAATGGGCACACTATCACACTCCAGAGAGATAGAAAGTTCTGAGCTGGCCTGGTGAACAGGTCATGCTGGTTCTCCTTATAACTGCAGTCACTGCTGGTGTTTTCTCAGCACACACAGCCTCCTGAAGGCAGTGGGTAGGATGAAAGGACCATCAGGGAGGGTCTGTGTTTTTCATGAGGGTCTCAGGGACTTGTCAATAACTTATGCCCTTTGTGATCTCTCTTGGCACCTTCATCTTGCATCATCCTGCTCTTCCTCACTCTTGGAAATGGACACAGGGCATAGATAGGGGAGAAGGAACAGGACCATTCTTCTTGGGAAAATTAAAGGCCAACTCCTTGTGAAAGGTGCTTGGGGCCCTGGGAGTAGAATCCCAACTCTTTCCTAGCTCTCGGCATTGCTCTTAGTCACACAGACCCTTTGCTTGCCTGCACTGGGTGGTCAAGAACAGGGACTGGCCATCTCTTCTCTTCCCCTCAAACACAAAAACAAGACTGGTGCTCAGCCAATGCTGGCTAATGTAATAGGCATTCCTCCACAGGCATGCCTAGGGCTTAATCTCTTGATGGGGGAGGCTGACCCCATGGTCAAGAATAGCAGGTGCTTAGAGTTAAGCCTGAGGCTGCTCACAGGCGGGGTCCTGGGTCATGTGGGGCCCAGCTTTCTCTTTTTACCTTGCCTCCACCTCTAAAAGTAGTGTTTCCCTGCTCCATACACAAATGGGAAATGAATGTTGCTCTACCTGAAGTTCTCTGCCCTCTACAAGCCACACTTCTTGCTTTGTCTACTAGACCAGCTGGGTCCCCAGTGCCTCCCATTTTTATCCCCCAGGCTCACGGGGTTGGCTTCTCCAGATTCAAGAAGGTCTGTATGACAAGAGGCAACTCAGACTTGATGATGTACAGGTAGCTGGACATAGCTGGAGGAGAAGGGGATGAACCCTTTGGTCAGCTGAACCAGCCAGTCGTCAGACCTGCCCACCTGTACACTGCTGCCCCACCCACCAGCCTCACCTCCAATGTTCTGTAGTGTGATGGCCAGAGCTGCTGCCAGCTTCCCTGGGGTCCCGAAGGCACGATAGCCCAGTTGCTCATAGGCACGGATACCTTTAGAAACAAGAGGTCGGGATAGTCAGAGGAACTTGCCCCAGTTCCCCTCAGCCCTACCTCTCTGCAAGTCTGCAAGAGACTCACCCACAATTCCTGAGGATTTGAGGAGCAGGTGGATGGAGTAACTAGACAGCAGGGCAACAGCTGTCAGCAGGAACCTGGAGAAGATGGAAGAAAAGAGGCCACTGGGGGTTCTCCTGATTGGCAGGGGCGAAGGACTCAAGGAGAATGGGTGGAAGGAGTCTGTGCCTCAGCTGTCTGGACATCCCCCAAAAGGAGAGGGTGCAAGTTAGCAGACCCCAGAGGTATGACCATAGGTTTTTTTTTTTTTTTTTTTTTTTTTAAGCAGGGTCTCCCTCTAGCCCCAGCTGTCCTGGAACTCACTATGTAGACCAGGCTGGCCTTGAACTCACAGATATACACCTGCCTCTGCCTCCCAAGTGCTGGGACTACAGGGGTGTGCCACCACGCCTGGCAAACATCAGTCTTTTTGACCCAGGGCACAGCATGACCGAGATGGGAGACCTCTGGGTCAAGAGTGCCCTGTGCCTGTCCTCTGAGCACCTCTTTTCCTTGAGCCCCTGGGACAAACATGTTTTCCATTCAGGCTGCAGGGCAGAGTCCTCAAGTCAATAACACGTGTGCCCACACAAGGCCTGGTCACAGAGGTTCAATCATCATATATAAATGTGATAGAACACACTTGGGCCTGTAAGGCTAGCTTTGTGGGTTTGCTGAGCAGTGAGGTATATTTGTCTGGCTGTGAATGTTTTTGCAGCCATGGGCTGGGTTCCACCCACTGGATAGCAGACTGGAAGGTCCTGAGAGGTAATGGCTGGTAGCTGTTAAGGGTTGTTTGCTGAGGCACTCACAGGAAAAGGATGATGCCGGTATTGGCCATGGCGTAGGCGAGTCCCAGGATGCCACTGCCCATGATGGCATTGCTAAGGTTGAATACTGACATCCCAAATGATGTCTTCCCCTCGAACTGCAGATACCAGAGTGGGGTGGGGCAACATGGAGAGTCAAAAAAAAAAAACAAAAAAAAAAAACGTGATGTTGTAGCATTCTCCCTCACTGTCCCTCAGTCTCCCATTGTTGCCCCAGAGCACCTCATTACTGTGTCCAAACTCCCCCACAGTCCCCCAAGTCCCTCAGGTTGCCCAGCTCACATCTGTGAAGTGTGGCTCCTTGCTGGGGCTTTTCTGTAGGAAGCCCTTGCCTTCCATACAGTGTTGGGGGTCTTCAACCCTGCAGGAAGAAACCAGGGCATGTGACCTAGCTCTAGACATATGCTCTGTGCCTCTTCCCAGGACTGTCTTAAGCCACCACCAGCTCCCTCTTCTACTTACCTCTGGTTGTCTGTTGTGGATATGCCTACTGGAAGAAGTCCCTCTAAGTGTTTGCCATTAGGCACCAGCTCCACCATCTCTGTCTGCAGGGGTGGCTCCATAGCTCAGAGACCACCACGGGGAACGCTGTTCCTCACAGCAACACAGTCAGGTGTCTGCAGAGCAGCCAGTCCCTCTGGTTATCCTTGGGTTCATGGCCCAGTCTCCCACATGAGGCCAGCAGCCATAGTACATCTCCAAGAGAATCACTCAGGACAGACAGATACATAAAGCCTCCTGGGGGCCTGCCGCTTCCTTGGGATCTGCCTTTGGGGTGTAGGGTAGGGCTTGGACACTTGAGTACCTAGGACATCCTGATGGGACACCTCATATGGTACAACCCCCCTCCATACACCAGCCCTGAAAACCATTAGGGCCTCAGTTTCTCTACCTGTGAAATGAGGGTCATCTGGGTGATCTGAATTCAGAGTCCACTAGCACTAGGACCCCTGAATCCTGAGTCCTAGGTCTTGACCTCACTCTAGGTATGCACCTTGGACTGAATTCCCTTCCTCACAGTGATCTTGGGACACAGTTTCCTAAACTGGTCCTGTATGCCAGGGGCCCCCTGGCCAACCTAGAATGGCACTACCCGACGGCTGGAGGCCTTGGGAGAGGGTGAGGGCTGTGGGCTCTGTTCCCAGCTGCCCAGCGGGCTCTGCTGGCAGTCAGAACAAAGAGCCCTCTGTGGGCTGAGAGCTGGCGCTGGGGACAGCAGGCGCAGAGGGTGCCCCCCCTCCAGAGCCAGGAGGCCTAAGGCTGTGTTGGGGTTGGACACCTGGGCCCCTCCAGCCTGGCTGTGGTCAAAGGCCTTCAGGGGCCCTTCCAGGAAATGGATGTTCCAGGGCACAGTTATCTAGGCCACTCGGTCCTCACCCTCCATACAATCCTGGCCTCAGGGCTGTGTTCTCCTTCTAGCATCTCCTCTTCTGCCAGGGAGCCCCCAATCCTCAGTGGCTGACATCCAAGCCGCCTCCCAAACAAAGCCCTTATTTCCCTGCACCCTGGGCCAGAAGTTCAGGGCTTGGCCGGCTGAAGAGGAGCCCAGGTCACTGCTGGTGCCTTTTCTTTCTCTCTCTGGGCTTGGCTCAGTTGGACTGCAAAAGATCCAGCTTCCTCCCTCCCTGCTGTGCACCGCTCAGACAACTCACTGGTCCCTCTCCCGCCACTGGAGATTGGAGTTACCTACCCGTGTCCAGACCAGAAATGTCTGGGCAAAGTGAACCCAGCCTCTGTCAGGACAGCCTAATGGCTGGAGTGGCTAGCAGGAGAGCTAAGCCAGAGTGGAGACTAGGTAGGGGTGGCTCTGCCAGGCAGGATAGGCAGAGCCTGGGCCTGAGGCATAGCACTTCTGTTTGGGTATCCCAAATCCAGCACTGAATCTCCCCTCCTTCTTCGGCCTCCAATGGTCTCAGGTTTGCTTTGGAGTTGGGAGTCCCAAGGAACTTAAACTTACCTCTCACTACAGGGACTCAGGCTCAGGCCTCAGGCCCTGGCACCCTGTGGGCAGCTGCTTCACCACCCCCATCCCCCGACTGCTCCAGGCCAGAGATCAGATCCTGAATACCATCACCCTGGGGACTCCAAAATTGGCACCATACCTACCTCTATCTCCCTGGCTGCCAGCTTTGAGCCCCTTATCCTCCCAGCCCACCTACTCAGGACCATGACAATGTTGACTTCTCTTCTTGAACCTCCTTCCCCTAGACTCTCATTCTTTAGGTTGTCCTCATGCTGCTCCTCCAAGGATCTCATCTAGGTGTAAGGTGCCAGTGCCAGGCTTCCAGAGTCCCTCCGGAGTATCTCCTGGCACTCAGTAGGTTGCTCTTTCTTGGCCCACACCCTGGGCAAGCTGGGACAGGCCCTTAGAGTGTGCTGAGTCAGCAGCCTAGGCCAAGCAACCTTTTCTGCCTTAATGACAGAGGACCCCAAGGGCTTGCCTGGGCTGGTGTGTGCAAGAACTCTGTTCTATTCTGGCTGGGGTGTCACATAGGATACCTAGCAGCCAGGCAATGCCTCCAGGGAGACTATAGTTCATGGCATGGCTGTGGGAGTTGTCTGAGGTTCTGGCTTTAGGTTCCCTATTCCTCTGCAGGATGTGGGCTCAAGCCTTTGTGTCTTGGTGGCTATTATTCATTCATAACTAGTCACTGCTGGGTTTCAGACTGGTCTGAGATCCCAGAAAGGACATGGAATTCTAGTCTTTAAGTGACCTCAAATCAGTAAGGGATACCCCCTGGTTCCATACCCCTCAATTACCACTCTCTATCTCTTGCTACAACTGAATATGAAGCGCATTCTGTAGGGACTCTAAAAAGGGAAGGGCCTTTGGAATGTAGCTAGGTGGTAGAATTCTTCCCCAGCATTCATTAAGGCCCTGATTTCCAATCCTAGCACTTGGGTACAAATGAAAGGTTGGAGAGAGGGAGGTGACAAGGAAGTCTTCCTGGAGGAGGTGATACAGTCAGGCTTAACTTTTCAGTAGAAGCTCCAAAGTAAGGAACTGGGAAGAGAGCCTTAGGCAGAGGGCACTACAAGGGCAAAGGCCCTGAGGTGTTGTATCAGCAGGTGGTAAGAGCGGAGTGAAGTTTCTATAGCTATAAACAAGCCTCTCAGAGCTTTAAATGCTAGGTCAAAATCTGTACCTCAGTAAAGGCCGGTTTGAGGGCTAGGGACCCAGAGTGAGGATTATCTCTGACCTCATATGGGGGACCTCAGCTATTTCCTAAGGCTTCCAGCCCATCTTTTAAAATATTTTATTTTTTATTTTTATTTTATGCGTATGAGTGTTATGCCCGCATGTAAGTAAGTGCACCCGTGCCGTGCAATGCCTGCAGAGGACAGAAAAGGCTGTCATATCCCCTAGAACTGGAGTTACAGACAGTTGTTAGCTGCCATGTGGGTGCTGGGATTTGAACCCGGGTCTTCTGCAAGAAGAGTCACTGTTCTTAACCGCTGAACCATCTCTCCAGCCCCTCAACCCATAGCTCCTCCCCTTGGGCCTGCTGTCTCCAAGTCGCCTTTCTGTCAAGGAGTCAGCATAACTCAGGAGTGAGTCCTTGGTTACAGAAAACTGCCAGTAGACCTGTAGAGCCTGATCCACGTGATAAGAGCCCAGACTAGACCCCTAAGACTAAGGTTCAGCCTGGACCAGCCTCACTATGTGACAATAGGCAGAGAATCCTCCTAATCAGGACTCAGTACCCTTCAATATCTAGGGGTCTTATGGGACTTGACCAAAGCTGAAGACAGAGTGAGGCCTGGGTGTTTAGACATGGGTGTCTAAAGAACAGTGAAGCCTTAGGGCAGAGAAATCACCAAACCCTTGAGCCTGGACAGTGAATCAATGGCCCAGGTCACTGCTCTGGTGCCTGTTTGCACTACTGGGAGATGGGTGGTGGTGGTGAGGGGAAGCATCAACAGGACAGTGCAGCAAGTAACACCTGCCCACGCAGGGCATCACAGAGTGAGAATTCATCAGGCACACCTCACAGGTGTTGATTTTGGCTAATTAAAGACTTCTAGGCCCAGGAATCCAGGCCAGGACAGGCTGGCTGCTTTCATCAGCCACTATGAGAACCACAGCTCTCCATCCTCGATCAAGGTCCTTGGAGTCCCTAGGGCTCTGAGCCTTGCTTTTCTTCTTCGTTCTCAGAGACAAAATTGGGTTTGCAGGGGTGCTGGCTACAGGGTCACATCCACAAGGTCCTTTGCTCACACTTGCCGCCATATGTTCTATTGGGGGGAACAGATGCCATGGAATTCATTGCTATAGCCCAGGATTCCTGGGCCTGGGTAGCCTTCACCTCAGCCCAAGGAGGATCTAGGAAGAAGCTGGACTAGACTGAAGGGTCACTACGTCTATCACCAGTAGCTCTGAGTTGAGGAATATTCCTAATCCCAGCTCAGTCCCATCCTGGCATCCATCTAGATAGCTACCCTCTGCCAACATGCTTCTCCAGCCTTCAAAGAAAAGACACTCCTTCCTAGGGCAGAGCATACATTAGTGGGAAATTGGGGTCCAACTCATGTGTGAACATAGCCACTTACTGGGAACTGGTACTGATGTTGGAGATTGAGGGTCAGAGCAAGTAGGAGTCTGTTAGAACAGAAGAAGGTATTAAAAGCTATCTCAGCCAGGCATGGTGGCACGCACCTTTAATCCCAGCACTCGGGAGGCAGAGGCAGAGGCAGGTGGATCTCTGTGAGTTCAAGGCCAGCCTGGTCTACATAGTGAGTTCCAGGACAGCTGGGGCTACAGGGAGACCCTGTCTCAAAAAGACCAAAAAAAAAAGCAAGCTATCTCTTCTTGTCCCTCACCCAAGACAACGCCACACATTTGAGGGTAGCAGATCCTAGTCTCCCATTTGAACACTCTTATCACAGTATAACACAGCAATGTAACATGTGGCCAGTGTCTGAACCAGCATGGGGCAGGTACTAAGAGGTGGGCATGCAAGAGGGGACATAGTCAAGGAAAAGGCAATGGCCTGGAGCATTAATATACCGGCCACCCCAATGCTTCATCCCCCAGCTTCTTGGCCCTGGAATCTGTAGCCTGTGCCTCTGTGTTCTGGGTATCCGGAAGTGTCTAGGAGGATCTGAGAAGCCCAGCTGGGGCCGGAAGGTAGACTTTCCTGTGACAGGGTACATTTCCTAGACACCCAACAGATGCTTACAAGCTGCCTTGGCCTCATCTCCCACCTAACCCTGGACTCTTCTTGCTCAGGCTGCCTCCAAGGGAGACTGTAGCCAGAACCTCTTGGCCCAAGTTGGCCAGAGCCAGCAGTGGCCCCCTCCCCCAATGCCATTGCCAGCCTGCTGAGAGGGACGTGTAGCCAGAGACCCCGCAGAGGCAAAAGACAGGACATCACGTGACTGTGGCCCCCCCAGAGGCAGGGGAGACCCTGCGCCAGCCAGCCCATCTTCCTCCCTGCTGACCCGGAATCCCCTGGAGGTGGCCAAATATTTGGACAGCCGGACTCTTGGCCCCAAAGAAAACTGGAACACAGGCCTTGGGCAGTTTGGGACTCATTGTAGACCCTGATGGGGGGGCTAAAACAAGATCAGCCTGGAGGAGGGGAGACATCCAAGGTCAGAAAGATTGAGGCAGAGGGAGGAAAGGAGAGAGATCTGTAGGGAGAGAGCACAAGAGAAACACACATTTCACACAAGTGCCCATGCATACTGATCTAGACAGACAGCTAGCCAGACAGAGATCCAGAGAGCTAGAGAAATAGATGGATATAAGGGTCACAGACAGAGGAAATCGAAGAGAAACAAAAATCACACGTAAGTAGGTGGCTAGATATTCGGAGAGGGAGACAGACAACTAGAGAAGTAAGAAACAGATGCCCAGCCGGAGATGGAGATAGAGAAAGAAATGTTGGCAAGAGACAGACAACAAAAGACAGAACCCTAGAAGGAGAAAGAAAGGGAGAAGGGCCAGGTGTAGTGGTGCATGCCTTTAATCCCAGCACTTAGGAGGCAGAAGAAGGGGGCATCTCTGAGTTTGAGGCCAGCCTGATCTACATAGGCAATTCCAGGTCAGCCAGAACTGCATAGTAAGACTGTCTCAAAACAAATAAACAAACAGCAACAACAAAAAAAACAGCAAGTGGGGGGTAGGGGGCCAAAATGTTCATGTATGGGGTAGAAGTGGGCATGTGTCAGAACTAGTGGACACCATGGCATACCTAGACAGAATCAAGGAGGGACTCCATAAGAAGGCCACCAATTTATCTACAGTTCTCTACAAACTCAGGTTATATCCCATCAGACAGGTGCAATGTCATCTACATAGTGGGGCTATGCCCACTAGGGTCATAAGGCCAGGCTCTGCTAGAAAGTACCAAGACCCCAGGGCCAGTACCTGAGACTTGTTTACCTGAACAATGGCAAAGACAAGCAGAGGTGATGGTCAGCTGGAGTGAGTCCTATTGTGAGCGGCCACACACATGTACGTCAGACATGCTGGCTTGAGAGGTTGTGTACAGGACATGGCCCGCAGAGCGGAAATTCAAAACCAAGCAACCTTAGGCCACTGGCAGGAAAGCCCCTCCTGCTCCAGCAGCTAGTCCTTCCCTTTGGCCCCAAGAAGTGCTGCCTGGTCCTATAGAACCCCACCCTACCCTCCTGGTTCTGTCCTCCCATCCAAAGTCAAAAGCCTGCCTCTTCAGTACTCTTTCACCCCTCTTTCACCAAGCACATTGGGTACAAGACACATAGTAGGTGCTCAGTGAATACAATTGAACGAATGGAATGGATTCAAAACCCTTTGCAAGCTCTCAGTCCATCTTATCTACTCTAAATAGGGCCTGACCCCTGGCAATGTCTACCTGAGAACCCCTCCCACAGGGCCCTTTCCTACTACAGCATAAACTACAAATCCTATCCCAGCTTTCTATGCACACAAATGCCCAAACTGCACCTCCTCACTCCCTTGAAAACATTCTTTCCGTTCAAACTTTGTGCCTGTCCCCACACCCAGCCAAGACTTCCAGGGTCTGTCTAACTACATTTCTTTTCCTGGCCCAGCCCCAGAGTTCATGATCTACCTCCCTTCACTGTGTCTCAGTTTCTCCATTTGCGTCAGGGTCTAAGGCTACTTTCTAGGCCAAGCATAAGTGCAAGAATAACCAACTCTCAAGCCAGGTGTGGTGGCACACACCTTTAATCCCAGCACTTGGGAGGCAGAGGCAAGAGGATCTTTGTGAGTTGGAGGCCAGCCTGGTCTACATAGTGAGTTCCAGGACAGCCAGGGCTACAAGGAGACCCTGTCTCCCCCAAAAAACAAAACAAAACAAAACAAAAAAACCTGGGCCCACACCTTTAATCCCAGCACTCGGGAGGCAGAGGCAGGTGGATCCTCTGTGAGTTCAAGGCCAATCCTCTGTGAGTTCAAGGCCAGCCTGATCTACAGAGTGAGTTCCAGGCGGCTGGAGCTACATGGAGACCCTGTCTCAAAAAGACCGAAAAAAAAAAATAAATAAATAAAATAAAATAAAAAATAACCAGCTCTCATGGTCTGGTTAATCGGAGGCCTGTACTGTGGAGTACAAGTGAACTTGAGACAGGAACCAGCACTCAACAAAATGAGGATATGGGCTCCATGGATCCAGACAGAATAAAGCTCTAAGACACACTCCCATCCTTCCTAGAGCCACAACTCAATGTTCCAAGTCCCAGAAGTCAGAGATTGTCATTCCTCATTTCAGTCATTCCAGTCTTTCTGAGATGTACCAGGCATGGCCTCAGGCACTCTTGATCCCTCCCGCATGAGGTTTCTCAGGGTAGGCTTCCACTGCTGTGCAGAAGTTCCCCACTTACAAAGTTAACTATCCTTGGATATTTCTAGCTTCCTACACACACACACACACACACACACACACACACACACACACACACTACACTACACTACACTGAGTGCTCCAAGGGACTGGTACCCATCCCATCTCAGACCATGTGCTAGGGGTCTTTCCCAGTGTCAGGGTGGTGGAGGCAGTGGTACACGGGGGAAGAACAGGACCTGTGGGCTGAAGGAAGAATGCATATGGAGGAGGTGCCCTCCACGGTGCTCCTCAGGGAGCAAGGGCCTCCTCAGCATTGTGGGGAGCCCAGACTTGGACTCTGGTCATTGGGGGGGGTGAAAGGACGGATTCCCACAAGCCCCATCCTTGGCCCCCCTCCTCCAGTGTAAACAAACACACGCATTCGCTGTAGCCAATAGACGCTGCCAGACCAACGGGGGGCGGGCTCATGCAAACCAAGTCTTGGTCCTTTCGCTCCACTGGTGCCTGGTAGTCACAGCGGAGACTGGCTAGCTCTCAAACCCGAGCCAGCCAGATCGGCAGGTGGAGAGGCGCACCGTTTGCGCCCCGCCCTCAGGTCAGAGAGCCACACGAGCCCAACACATGCTGTACCCGCTGGCCCCACTGGCCCCACTGCAAATGGCACTAGTTCTGGGTAGGCTAGCATGTACCCCGTGGCCCCTCAGGCGTCCAGGCCAGATCTGTCCTCAAACTCTGTCCAACCAGGCCGGGATAAATATACCCGATTGCCGGCGTGCCAGCCGGCAGATCTGCCAGCCAGCGCTGGTCGGGACAGCGCTCCAGCGATTGCTACCGGCACCTCTCTAGCGGGTTCCCGGGGGTCCTGACTTGGGAAATCGGTCTGGTGCCTCCTGAGCCCTCGACTAGGTGCCGGGCGGCTCTAACCCCGGGGACTGCTGGCCCCTTGCTGTCCAGTTTGTTCCTGCCAAGAAGCTGAAGTAGATGAGGTGCCCCTCCCAGGACCCTAGAGCAAGCTTGGAGCTAGGTGCCAACGTGGGTAGGCTTGCAGACCTGTGCCCTGAAGCGCATAGGGCTCTGACTCGCGGGAAGCTTGTTCGTCTGCCCGGGTCTCGGGGTAAGAGGAAAGTTGCCCAGAGCCCACTATGGACTGGAGGGGAGATAGTAGGACTCTGCCCGCCCGGTGTCCCTAGGCTGGTAGGTTGATACCCCTGGGGTACCTGGCCTCGTGGTACCTCGGCGCTCCGCTGGAGCCGGTGCGGTCCGCTCTGCTCCAGGCCGAGCACAGGGCTGCAGCAGCAACAGCGGCGGCGGGGGATGAAGGGCGCCGGGCCCCGCCCCCGGCCCGCCCCCGGCTCTCCAATCCCGGCTTGCCTGCGGGAGGAGGGGCTGGCCCAGGGAGGCGCAGGGGGCCCGCGGGTTTATAGGGGCAGTGGAGCCCTCGGAGCCCCTTGGTGGGAGAGCCGTGTTAGAGAGGGCTCGCCTAAGTCTTAAGGAATGGGGAGGGGTGTGCTTCAGGTCAAAGCAGTTTCTTTCTGAGGATTGTGGCTGCCCCGAACCCCAAACACTCTCTAAAGCCCGAAGGCATCTTAGCCAAGAGGTGTGGGAACAAGACAAAGCTTAACCAGTGTGAGGGCTTTGAATGGAGGACTTTCAGACTTACACCTTTTCTGCATTGACTCCCTCAGCCTTGCCTATTAGAAGTGGACTGAAATGGAATGAGAAGGGCTACTGCATCAATTCTGTCTTCACTCCCAGATAGTCAGAAGATGGTATCCTTGCCTCTGCAGCAGACATGAGCTGGGTTAGCAAGGACAGGAAGGCAGCAAGCGGAGGTTTGCTATGTCACTTTTCTAGGATTTCCTACCATTCCCTCCACTCCCATTTCTAAGACAAAAGAGACCTGTCAGGTTGCCCATCAGAAATGGGGGCAGGACTTAGTACTCTGGGGAGGGGACTTTAGGAGGGCCTTCCTTGGCTAGAGGATCCAGTCCCACTTTTGCCTGCTTTCCATCTAGGATTGTGGTGCTCAGAAGGGGGTGATGGGTATAAGGCCCCAGGTCCCCAAAGTAGGGAGCTGGGGGAGGTATCAGCCTTTCAGGATAAAGGGGAGGGGACTCCTGAGAACAGCTGTGTCCCTTGCTTCTCAGCCACTGACTCTGATCTGATTAATCTTGTGGCCTCTGCTCTTCCTATCCAAGCTGGACTTCTTTGTGTCATGTCTACCTCCCTTCCTGGCTAGCAGGAATGCCTTTGGAGGGCAGACCTCGCCGCTTCCCCTGCCCCAGGCTGGGAGTCAGGACTCCTCCAATCCAGGAGTCCTGGATTCTCTTCCTGCTGACTCATAGCACCACCACAGACAAGCCCTAGTGTGCCTCAGTTTCCCTCTGTATAAGGATATGGCTGTCTTTTCCTTTTGCCAAAGGGGAGTGGGTGAAGGGTAAAAGTTGTAAGCCATGGGGAGGGAGCTAAGTGCTGGCTAGGAGAGCTACTGGGCTGGGAGAACTAAGAAACATAGTATTGGGATGGTGACAACCTCCAGAAACCTCAAGCCATTGAATCCGTAGCTTTGTGGCAGCTAGAAGATAGGAAGTTTTACATGGTGAGCTGAGGCTGGCATAACTGTCAGACCAGAGCTCACCATGTTTTGAAGAGCCATTAGACCCTTACCCTCCAAAACAGCATGGGAAGCTGGGTAGAGTGGCACATGCCTGTAATCCCAGCCCTCAGGAAGGGAAAGGGGAGAACAAAAATGGCATGAGACAGAGCCACTTTGGATGCTCACAGGAGCCATTTGCAAAGGGGTAATGGCTCCCACTGGCAGTTCCTGAGGGGCCAGGACAAGCTCAAGGACAGAGTATTGAGGTCCTCAATCCAAACTAGGCTGCTGTGGAAGGACTGGAGGCCAGTGAGTTGAGGGGTCCCTGGGTCAGGCCAGTCATGAACAGCCTGGGGGATGGATGACTGTTTGTTGTTGCTAGGCCTGGGCTCCTGCCAGGGCAAACAGAGCTGAGGCCTTTCCCACCACCTGCTGAATCTCCCAGCCCAGACTGCCTTTGCTGGACAGCTGGGCAGCTGGAATGGGGCTCTGATAGCTGCCAGGCACCTTCTCCCAGAGGTCGGAGGGAATGCCCATTTGTGTAACAGCCATGTTAAGGGTAACTTCCCAGAGAAGGGAGAAGGAGAGCTTTATCTCTGGCATCAGTCCAGCTCTTGCCTCCACTTCTCTATCTCCACATCTCAAACACAGATCTAGGAGACTGCCAGATACATGGGACAGAGTTTAGGATCCTAAGATCTTGCAGCTCCTCCATCCAAGATCACATTAGCTCCTTGTTCTTTTCTTTTTCTATTTTATTATTTTTATTTTATGTGTATGAATGTATTGCCTTCGTGTATGTGAGTGCACCTGTGTCGTGCTATGCCTCAGAGGTCAGAAGAGGGCTTCGGGTTCCCCTGGAACTGAAGTAAAGGACGGTTTGTAGCCGCCATGTGGGTGCTGGGAATCAAACCCGGGTCCTCTGCAAGAGCAGTCAGTGCTCTTAACTGCTGAGCCATCTCTCCAGTCCCAGCCCCTTGTTCTTTTCAACCTTGTCATGAGCACTCAATCTCCATCAGGGCAGCCTTTCTTCACCACATTACCATCTTTGCTGGCACATCTTCCATATGGTGCCTCAAGACCCTTTCCAACAGGGATGCCCCATCTTCACCTCTAACCCAGTCCTTTCTGGATCCCACAGGTTGTATGGACAGCCTGCGGGTTCCTCCCTTACACCCAGATGGCTTCCTTGATACCCACCCTCAACCTGTTCCTGGTGAACTATCCCCCGAAACAGTCCAGCTGACCACACACGGTCCTGCTGTTCCTAGAACATGCCAGTTATCATGCTTCTGTGCCTCTGTGCTTATGCTTCCTAGAGTCCCACCTCCTTGGCAACCTCCTACTTGTCCTTTAGCGCCCAAAGATGATCACTTCTGAGAGTTCTGCTCAAGTCACCAAAGAGTCAGATATTCCAGTGCTGCCTGTGGTCATCCTACCATTGCTCCGCAGTCTCAGCCTCAGTATCTCCACATGCTCTCTATGGTGCCTAAGATATCTGGGAAAGTGCCTACCAGGATGAGGGCACAAATCAATGAAAGCCCAGTGAAGAAGCATCCTGTGGACCAGACTCTGCCCAAAAGAAGAAAGTGGTATGTCAGGGTCTGGAAGAGAAAAAGCACTCCAAGTAGAGACATGGGTGGAATCAGCACTGGTAGACTGCGAGCTTGGGTGGTAGGGCAAGAACAAGACACTTGCTAAGGAGTCATGTTGGGGATTCAAAGGGTTTACAGAAGAGTGCTCTTGCTCTACACACCAGGGTAGAAGACTTAGGCCTATGCTCCTGATCACACTGGCTCACTGTTTTGTGTCCAGGAGGTGATGTTTTGGGCATGAGCAGGATCTAGTGTCACACTACATAATGTAGAAATATGGAGGGAGCTGGGCATATTGGTGCACGCCTTTAATCTCAGTATTCCAGAGGCAGAGGCAGGTGGATCTCTGTAAGATCGAGGATACCCTGGTCTACCCTGGTAGATCGAGGATACCCTGGTCTTAGCAAGTTCTAAGTCAGCTGGGACTATAGAGAGAGTCTGTCTCAAAAAGAACCAAAAGGAAAAAAAAAGAAAGAAATATAAGGGGGAAGCTGAGAGATGGCTCAACAGTTAAAAGCACTGGTTATAGGTTCTGGAGAGATGGCTCAGAGGTTAAGAGCACTGACTGCTCTTGCAGAGGACCAGAGTTCGAGTCCCAGCACCGACATGGCAGCTAAGACCTGTCATTAACCCCAGTTCCAGGGGAATCCGACACTCTCTTCTGACCTCTGAGGCATTGCACAACATGGGTGCATTCACATACATGCAGACAATACAGTCATACACATAAAATAAAAATAATAAATAAAATATTTAAAAATAAAAAACACTGGCTACTCTTGCAGAAGACCTGGGTTTGGGTCCCAGCAGTCACATGGTGGCTAACAACTTTCAAAATTTCAGTTCCAGAAGATCTGGTGTCCTCTTGTCTCTTACATACATACATGCAGGCAAAACAATACACACACACACAAAAGAAATAAAAAAAATAAAAAAAGAAATATGGAGGGAACTGCAGACAGCACTCCAATCAAGGCCTTCCCCAGCCTGGGCTCCAGAACTGGTGGCCTCCTGGCCAAGGCTTGCTTCTGCAGGTCTGCCATGCCTATCCTCTCTCCTCTGAGATCTGGGCTCCAGCTTCTCTAGCCACTGAAGCGGCTTAATGAGCTCAGGTCACATGGACTGTGCTGCTGCCCATAGGGAGGGCCCAAACCCTCAGTGGTCATCCGGCCAGGTCCTGACGTCAGTGGCATTAACCATCCACCAGGCTTGTCTAATCTCTGGTCAGTGACTGGGCCAGACTAGACCTGTCAGAGCCAGAGCTGAAGATCACAGGGCCCTCAGGGACACCTTGAGGTTGAAGGGCAGGCAGGATGGCAGTAGCTAGAGGTGTACATAGTAAAATGCCCCCTACATGGCAGATGTGGCCATGGTGCTCTCTCTGATCCTGTGCCCTGGACTGTGAATCAGGCATCAGGCACCCATTGAGCCTGTTCTTTAGAGTATAATTACACTGGTGTGGCAAGTGGAGCTAAATCTGCCTAGGAGACTTCCCTCACACACAGGGAAGCTTGAGGCCAGGCAGTGTCATCAGCCCACAGGACTTAGGAGTACAATTCCTGTGTCTCAGATCTGTGGTCAGGACCATCTGTGCAGGGGCAGTCCAGCTCATGTATATGGTTTAGGCTCTTCTCCATCCCTTACCTGGGAAGGCTGAAGAGCTCTCCTGAAACAAGGCAGCTATGAGCAGACCCCACTAGTCTGCCCTTCCCCATTACTCCTCCTCCTCCTGGTGTCCAACATTTTCAGCTCCTCAAGCTTCCTGACCTCTGGCAGATAAATGCCTCTGTCACTACCCACTGCCCCACCTTATTCCAATAAACTGTTCAGGGAGAGGGCCCTTGGTGGAGGTGAACAGCCCAACCTCAGCCAGGCCCTAGACCACCCAGCAAAGATCTTTCACCCCTGTTCTGAACCGTCCTCCCCTCAGGCTTCTAGACAGTATCCATGTTGTTGCCCATGTGTGTCCTGGGCTCCCTGAGCCATCCAGCATCCTTCCATACACAGGCCAAGGGACCCTCCCTCTTCCTCTCCAGTCCCCTACAAGTTCACAGTTCTACTACCGCCTGGACTCTGCCTTTTGCCTGCCTCCTAGACTTCTTCCCTAAGTGGCCAC